CCCAATTCACAGTTGGGATGTACTTGCGGGGTGCCCTCTCTTGGGCACGGATGTGAATTCAACTAATTAATGCCATGAGAAAGCAACACTAGTAGAGGTTGGGGGATGTATTGGATTAGGATATTCTGGAAATATTATAATTTTAATTGGTACCCAAAAGAAACCTGATGAGGGCGGATTTGGCCCTCCAATGATATTGTGACACATGGCACCTCGGAACAAATAGGTGACACCCGGAACCACTTATGCAACAACTTGCCTTAGCCAAGTTGATGGTGTCCCACCTGGCGGCCTGGCCTAGGCGCCAACCTGGCAACCTGCAAGACGTGCTCGCCGACAAATTCGGCATGCATATCCAAACACTCCCACGATCTTTGGAAATTGGCCCACGTGCCGAACGATCCAAAGGGTGGTCAACGTCCATGGCAGTTACCTTAGGGAATTTCGGACCACTTAGACGACTTCTTGGAAATCTTGGATGCGGTGTGTAGAGCCCACGCCAAACTAGGCCTATATAAAGGCACCAACCCCAATGGCATAGGAGGGGCAAGTAAGCATATTCTATCTCTCATACTTTGTGATTTTTAGCTCGCAGTCTACTATGAGAGTACTGACTTAAGCATCGGAGCGACCTCGCTGGGTTAGCCACCCTAGGTCCTCTGACATTGATTCCTTGCAGGTCTCTAAAGAACTACGAAGCTCAACAATCAATCCAGATCGCCACCAGGCAGCTCGACACTCTGGTCAGCTCGGAAACTAATAGGCAGCTCGACCCTCTGGTCAGCTCGGCACCTAATAGGCAGCTCGACACTCTGGTCAGCTCGGCACCAAATAGGCAGCTCGACACTCTGGTCAGCTCGTCACGTAACCTGCCTAGCTCGGCCTAGTTAACTCGACACCTAATCTGCCCCCAGCTTGGCATGGTCAACTCAGCATCCAGGTCCTCATCCAGCAGAAGTTAACTTCGGCCTCTGAGTCATCGGCCACTCGGAAGCAGACCAAATGATGAGGTACTTAGCCAAAAAATTGATACATCAAAACCCTAATTCAATGCTATAAATACAAGCATTATTTCTAGGGTTGTAATAACTTTGAGTTATTTAACTAGTGAAGTTAGTCATAGTTGATATCAAACTTCTGTGGGTGAAGTAGTATGTAAGGAACTCATTGCTCGATTTTGAGGGAAAATCCAATTTCGAGTAAACATTTTCAATGTAATAATCATACCTATAGAATAATTGATAAACGAACTATTGGGTTGACAACTAATCTTGGTTGTTTGGGACGTGTGGAAGGAAAGGAATCTTGGGGATTGAAAGATAGTATATTCTATGCTTTGTCCACAATAAATAATTCACCTTATCCCCAAAGGTCAGTTGGATTGAGCGACAATTGACTGAGACAAAATCATGCACACTGGGGTAGGCTACCTATTACTGAGTGAAAATGCCAGTTTTCAGTAAAGCCAACAATGAATACCCAGCTTGATGTGTATGATTGTCTCCAGCCCATCCGGATTGACCTAGATTCAGCTCAAAGACTTTCTCTCAGGGCCTGTTGGTTAATTTAATTCCTCTTTACTCTTATCAGTAAAGTGGATTTTGCCACTTTTAGATAGAGAGGGGTGGTATTGGTTATTATTATTTTTATTATTTTATTATTTTATTAAATATTTGATTATTAATTGTTATTATTATTAATTATTTTATAAAATTCAATAATTAATTAAATATTCAATTACACAATTTTTTTGTAATCATTATTTAATTTTATTATTTGTTTCACAATTTAATAATTAATAATTAATTGTTACATACTTAGTTTTTATTAATTATTAACAATTTCTAGTTATATATTTATTGAAGACATTATTTACTTATTTATAATTTTTTGATAAATTTAATTATGCTTTAGTAATTTATATTCACTAATTATTTGTTAATTATCTATATTTTATATGAAAGTGTGGATGTAGAGTTGAAGCTTTTTTGGACTAAAGTTCCTTTCTATTTCTTTGTTTGAGAAATGGTATGGAAGTCATTTTATTAAAACTTTAATGACAAATAATAATCCCCTCTCATTAAGTCATTTGTTTGAGAAATGGTATGAAAGTCATTCTATTTCTATTTCTTTTGTTTGAGAAATGGTATGAAATGGTATGAAAGTCATTTGTTTTTATTTCTATTTCTATTTCTTTGTTTGAGAAATGATATGAAATGGTATGAGAAATCCCCTCTCATTAAGTCAATTTCTATTTCTATTTCTTTGTTTGAGAAATGGTATGAAAGTCATTTGTTTGAGAAATGATATGAAAGTCATTCTATTTCTTTGTAAGGGTTGAAACTCATTTAATCCCCTCTCATTAAGTCTTATACTTAAGGTATTAACTCTCATTTTATCTTGTTAAATCCTATATTTTAACTATTTTCAATAATAAATGCTACCAATTAGATCTATGTAAGTATTTTTAATAATAAACCCATTATTTTAAAACTGACTCAAAAACAAAAATATTTCATTATCCAAGTTGTGGATAAGCAATTTAACCATCTAAATCAAATTGATCAACCTATGAAATCTTAATTATGTAATAAAATTTAAAATAGAAATAAACATAGAAAATTATAAAAATATAGAAAAATTAAACACATTTATAATATTTCTATTAATAAATTAAAAAAATAAGTGTAATAAACATGAATAATTTTTATTGACAAAGGAAATGAAATACATAATTTAGAACTGACAAAAAAATGAAATTGTTTTATTGTTTGGCAAAGATCAATAGTTCAACTTTTGGGTCAAATGTATTAACATTTAATGTCATAAATAAATCATAAAAATATAAAAATGAAAAAATACATAAATTTTACAAGAAAAAAGCATTCTGTCTCATGTATAATATCATATAATTATCATATTAAATAGAAATTAAGTGTGACATATCAAAATAATTTTTACTCACATAAATACAAAAAAAAAGAAAAAATTGAACACATCTATAATTTTATATTTATGCTACTATTAGAAATATGAATAAGATTGTGGAACTTTTTTTTGACAAAAATATTCATTTTTAATTTAGTCTTTATTTAGATGTTTAAATTGTAAATTGAATTACTACTTTTTACCTCATTCAATTCCCTCTATTTAAATCTTATATTTCTTTGATAAATGAACAAAAGAAACCCAAAATGATAAGACATTGCAAAAAGAATAATCTAGTCAAGTAGGTAGGCTTGTCAAGTATACTTGAAACTTATCAACTCGACCCGATTATCACATATTTGGATGATGTGTTTATATAATCAGATTTGGATTTTTCAATATGCATCCAATTATAATGAAAAATAAAAAATGAAAAGATATGTATTTATAAAAAATTTTTATTACATTATTATAACCATCATCATCATCTAGAATTGTCACATGTGAAACACGATCACACTTACTATTTTATAAAATAGTTAGACAAACTTTCACATATATATCTAGAGTTAAATTAATCAATTACTCTTTTTTAGAAAACAAATAGACCCTCACTTTCGCTCATTCAAGGATGGATGAAAGCATCCGTCTCAAGATTTTTATTGGTCCAGTTGGATCTATTAATCCACGTCACAGTTGCTTGTCCCAAAGTTTAAATGAGAAACTATTGGTTATGGTGTTTATCTAACGACGTCAGATTTAAATTGAACAATTCCAACTATTTTCAACTTTTACGGCTTGCATCTATTAGGGTTTGAGTTTTTTTTTTTTTTTTTTTCCAAAATCAAAAAGCAAAGAGAAGAGGGAGACCGACCTTACTCAGTTACACCTCCCAATCACCATTAAAGAGCACATGAAAAGCACAATCATTTTCGTAATACGAACTGGTTTCTGTTACGCCAATATCTCCTTTGTCTCACCATTGTAGACAACAAGAAGGAAACACAACCATTTCCGTAATACGAACTGGTTAGCTTTTACTTTTTATTGTCTATTTTTTCATTCTGATTTCTGTTACGCGAATAACTCTGTCTCACCTTTCTGAAAACAATGTAATATCAAGCAAAAAAATATAAAAAAAAAAAGATGAAATATGGTTTTAGATCTAATACGTTAACAACTCCCTACATGTGAAAGAAACACATTAACATAAGGTTAACAAGCCAAATATTACCCTTTGTCTTTTTCTTTATATATTGGTGAGATACAAGCAAATAGTTTCATGCATTAAAAACAAAGTCGTTTTCTATAATTATCGGCAGAGAACAATTCATGTTAAAGATTAAACCTAGTCATTGATGAAGTTATCGGCAGAACAAAGAAGATTTTTTGTTTAAAGGCTTAAAGCTAACTTGTTCTAATAATCAAAACAAAGGGGTTATTGGCGGAAATGAAAAGGTTTATTGGCGTAACAAAAACCAGAATGAAAAAAAAAAAATAGTTTAGACAATAAAAAGTAAAAGCTAATTGGTTCGTATACGGAAATGGTTGTGCTTTTCATGTGCTCTGCAATGATGATGGGGAGGAGTAAGTTCGGCCTCCCTCTTCTCTCTGCTTTTTGATTTTGGGAAAAAAAAAAACGCAAACCCAAATAGATATAAGTTATTCAAATTAGATCTAACCTGACGTCGTTAGACAAACGCCATAACCAATCATTTCTCATTTAAATGCATTGGGACAAGCAATTCTGACGTGGATTAATAGATCCAGCTGGCCCAATAAAAATCTTGGGACGGATGCTTTCGTCCGTCGTTGAATGAGCGAAGGTGAACTCTATATATATATATATACGAGTAGCTCGAGCTGAAATCAAACTCAAATCTCTAACTCGAGTTGCTCATAATTTCTTTGGGAGCCGGCTCGGCTCGAATCAACCCAGAGGTACCGCGGAAAATAATTTGTCCGTTTCAACTTTCAAAGTTCAGAAATTTCAAAAACCAAGCGTTCCACAGAAGAAGAAAATGTTCGTGTTTTATTGATAACAGAAAAAGCTGTCTGACATTAAAAGCAGAAAGCAGCTGCATTGAATGTGACACTGTCTAACGAATCAACCCAAATCAGAAGTCAGAAGTCAAACGTGGTTGGGCACAATAACTGGAATGGAAACAGTCAAGATTGTCAACTATTCCACTACATGAACCAACCAGAAGGAAGAGACAAATCGAAGTAAGTCACGCATCTTAAAGGGGCGTTGACTGCAATACCATGCCTCAATATAAATTTGTAGCCTCGAGCTGCCCAAGAGGCCGAGACGGCCATAGGCATTATGTTTCATTCTCTCACCACCAAATCGATTCTCTTCCTACTCGTTCTCACGCTCGGCATCATCGGCGGCGACGCCATCGGTAGTTCTAGTTACAATCCTCTATGTTCTCCAGTGAAGTGTGGCAACGGTCCTTTAGTAGGGTACCCATTTTGGAGAGGTGAATATGCTAGTCCCATGATCTGCGGATACCCAGGCCTCAGTTACCACTGCGGCGGCTCAGGTACCGGTCCGACGATTCAACTGCCCAACAACGTTTCTTACAGCCTCGATACTGAGATCGATTATGGCAATTACACTTTCAGACTTACCGATCTTAACTTACAGAACAATAGTTGCCCAAGGACATATCAAAACGTCACCCTGGACGAAGATAGATATAACTACACCCAAGACACCGCGAGACTTGTATTTTTCTTTGATTGCTATCCATATCCTGATATACCTTTGGGTCCTCTCGACGGTGGTACCGTGACTTGTGGACAGGATAATTCAACCAGAAAGTCTTTTGTGTTCTCCGACGATCGGATTCCGAAGTTCGATTGGTACCGGAACTGTGATAAAAGCGTGGTGGTTCCGGGGCCTGCAATGTTTAGATCCGTCGATCTTCAGCTTTATGATCCATCAAGAAACGCACCGCTGTCATGGTCGTTTGGTTTAAAGTGGATTCCTCCGAAGGATTGTGGAGTCTGTGAGGAATCCAGTGGCAAGTGCGGTTACAATCGGACTGACAGCAGTTTCTCTTGCTTTTGTGGAGATGGATCGCAAGTTAAGGGCAGATGCCCCCCGGATCGGAAAAAGGAAGGTCAATCTTTTGTCCTCGAATGATTATTGTTGGTCTGAACTCTGTATTGGAGGCAACCACTTCAATACAGAACTATTTGTCATCTCCCATCTGTCCTTCGCTCTACGCGTTGGGCAAGGGGATGGCCCATTATTGAAATTCTCCTACCTAGGAGGTTTGGGCATGGCAATCCAAACTTTTTTTTATCAAATTTGGGAAACTCTATATTAGTCACCTATTCAATCCTATGGTCCACCTCAGCCTTTATTTCATCTTTAATATTGTTTTTCACATGTAATATTTGCTATGAAGTTTTAATCTATACTTTTTTTTTTCTTTCCCCTTAATTCCCTCTCTTTATTTCTCTTTTTCCTCTATTCCCCCTTCCCATCCCTTTCATGTACTCACGTGGCAGCCCTATCCTCTTCGCTAGAGTCTCACTTTAATTCTCTCTCTCATGTTCCTAATCACTTAGTTAAGTCTGACCTAAAATTCCTTCTAAAATATCTTCCTTACCTAAAATTTATTTCAATAAATATAAATTTGTTTTTTTACATTTACAATAAACTTGATACAACCAATAATTTTTTTAGCAATAATTAGTTATTGATATTTTTATTAATAATTAATTGATATTATCAGAAAATAATTTAAACTTTTTCAGTGGAAAATTAATTTCAGTAATTATAAATTAATTTTTTATATTTTTAATAATTTTGTTATTTAATGCAATTTTTGGGAAATAATTAGTGATTTTGGTAATTTAATTACTAAAAATTACTTATTTTGGTAATTTAATTTAGAAATAAAACGTTCAATTATTCAAATAATTAGTTGCAAATTTTGACCATTTTCATAATTATTGGATACTATATTTATAATTTCCATAATTATTAGAACTATATTCATTGGTTTGGGGGATGACCCCCCAAGTAGGAATGGCAATGGGTGAGGACCATACTCCCTGTCCCCGACCCCAACTTTAAATTAACCCCCGACTCTAATCCTTATCCCTGGTGGGAAAAAATTAGCCTACATCTCTGGTCCCCGATGGCAATGGATTTTTCATCGGGACCTGAATCTCCATATATAAATAATATTATAAATAACACGAATAATATTATATATTTAATAAAATATGTACATAAAGACACATATATTTGGGATCGGGCGTGGCATGGATTTTACTCCCCGTCCCCAATCAGATATTCCTATTAATCCCATCCCCACCCTGTCCCCGCTAAGGTAGTCCCCATCCCCATCCCCATCCCCACCAACTGGGCACTCAGTGGACATAAGGAAAATTTTCATCCCTACCATCGGGTTGTATAGCCTCATAGAGCAATAAGTTTTAAACCCTATAAGCCCTAACATCTTTTTTCCCATGCATCACATAGGGCCCACTAGTATTTTACTAATTTTATTCAAAAGGAGGCTTTATATTGACCACGTTGCAAGGATTTTTGGGATCAATAGAGGATGTAAAAGTGCTTTTTTAATCTGCTCAAGCAAGAAGCTTCTGTACATGTGCCAAAGGGTGCAACTTGGTTGGGTTCGTTTGGGTTTTATGCTAATCCAGGCCCAATCAACCCAACTTTAAAGCCTTGGTTGGCTAGCCCATGACCAAACTTGAGCTAAACCAAATAGAACTTGAATTGGGCTCAGGTGGGCTTTAAGGTTTTTCTTCCTCATGCTTTGCACATCTATCTCTTATTTTTGTTGTGCAATCTAATCTAGAAGTAGAAGAATCGATAATAAGTATACGGCCATCACACGAAGCTAATCTGGACTTGCATTTAGGTGCAATGTCCCAAAGGCAAGACATTCATTTTGTTAAATCAAAAGCCCTTAACTTCATAAGATTTAAGCATGTATAGGTTGTTTTCATAGTTGCCTAATTGATCACTTGGGCGACAAGACTCCCTTGGTTTGGCACCTTGTCTAAACTCCATGGTTTATATGACAAAAGAGGTATAAATCTAGTGAAGACCAATGAATTCCATTCTTCTGTGTTGAAACCTCTTTATACTTTAGAGCAGATGGGTTTAGTGACTAGTAAACATTGTTTGGATTAGCTGGTTATATTCAGCAAAGACTTGTTTTGGACAGTTTCAGTTTAAGGGGGTGTTTGCAAATATGTTGGGTTTTTCTTTTTAGATTAAAAGCAACTTCCATGCCAGAAAAACTATATTATAGTTTTTTCTAACATGGCAGTTGCTTTTGTTTTAAGAAACAAAAATCATATGTATTGGCAAACAACCCCTAAACTAATGTTCCAATCCTATTTGGAAAAAAAAAAATAGATAAGAATAAACAATGCATTCTTCTGCATATGATCAGTGAATGTTAATATTTTCCTTTTCTTCTTCTCATTTATTCTCTAACATGTGTGTTTCTATGTGTGCATCTTTCAGGTCTAAGCTTGTTAGCCAAGATATTAATAGGTTAGCCGACAAGACTCAATTAAGCTTGCTTTTGTTGACCTTTGGATTTGTAAATGTGATAATCTAAAAAGACTCCTTTCTACTTCCCCCTTGCAGGTATTTCCAGTGGACTTGTTGTAGTTATTCTAGCCTTAGTTGGCTTTGGGATGCAAGTCTATAGGAAGCAAACAAAATATATTGAAGATGTTGAAGCAGTTCTAAAGAAATATGCATCCTTAATTCCACAAAGATATAAGTACTCGGATATCAAGAAAATTACCAACTCCTTTAAGGTTAAATTGGGTAATGGTGGGTTTGGTAGTGTCTTCAAAGGTGAGCTACCTGATGGCCGCCCAGTAGCCATCAAGGTTTTGAACGAGTCCAAAGGGAATGGAGAAGAATTCATTAATGAAGTCATCACCATCGGTCAGACCAACCATATTAACATTGTTAGGCTTCTGGGCTTCTGTTCAGAGGGGTCCAAAAGAGCCCTTGTTTATGAGTTCATGCCAAACGGATCCCTTGATAAGTACATATATGCTAAGCAACAGATAGATGCTCATCCATTACTGAAGTGGAGAAAGCTTTTCGAAATTGCAGTAGGCATAGCTCGAGGACTGGAGTACCTGCACCGTGGTTGTAGCAGTCGCATCCTACATTTTGATATAAAACCACACAACATTCTGCTGGACCAAGACTTCAGTCCTAAGATATCCGACTTTGGGCTGGCTAAACTCTGCCCAACAAGAGAGAGCATAGTGTCAATGTTTGGGGCACGAGGAACCTGTGGTTTCATTGCACCAGAAGTCTTCTGTAGAAACTTCGGAGGTGTCTCTTACAAGTCTGACGTCTATAGCTATGGGATGATGGTGATGGAAATGGTTGGAGGAAGAAGGAAAATGGATTTAAGTGTGGAGAATAGCAGTGAGATATATTTTGCAGATTGGGTTTATGATCGTCTTGAGCAAAAAGATGATATTGGACTGGTAGGGTTTAAAGATGCTTTTGAGGAAGAATTGACAAAGAAAATGGTAGTGGTGGGATTGTGGTGCATACAAACAAGCCCCAAGGATCGTCCATCGATGAGCAGGGTGGTTGAGATGCTGGAAGGTAACATTGGCAGTTTGCAAATGCCCCCAAAGCCTTTCCTTCATTCACCTTCCACCGGGTCTCCTTCAGACGGACTGGATTACACTCAACCTTCTTCCACTTTCTCTATAGAAAAGGAAGATATTGTGCTAAATACATAACTGAGAGGCTCTACCAATATAATTATAACCTACTGAATTTGGATTCATGTTTGTTAAGAAATTTAAGTTTTTTAATTAAAATTCAGTGGTTTATTTGTTATCGAAACCAAATGACTTGAAGAGGACTTTCTACTGAAAAACTTAAACCCAATGACAACTGAGTGACTTATTTATATCGCCCTTTAATGGATAAAATAATTAAATAATGAAAGATTTGAGAATAGTAGTCATGCCATCTTCGGTTTCAGCCCTAATAAGTAATTAAGTTCAGCCACTACAGTTGTTATCAGATGACACCTTAAATGTGTAATCTCATAGTACATTGCTTATAATCAATTTAGAAAACCTAATTGTTGAGCATTCCTTTTTTTTGGATAAGTCGGATAAAAGGAGGTTATGTTCTGCTAGGTCACAGTTTGTGAGGTTGCAACATAAATAAGGTGTGGATTTGGCCAGGCTTTGCAACTTTATTAATAGAAAACATGGTTTTCAAAATCAGATCAGACCGGATGGTTGGACTGGAAAAACTGGGAATCGGTCAGGTGATCAGTTTCGTTTTACTCAGAAATTATTATTTTCTCAAAAACTGTTAATTTGGTCAACAAACCGCTAATTCGGACGGTTGAACTATTCAAACTGTTCGAACCATTCAATAGTTTGATCATTTTTTATTTTATTTTTATTTTTTGTCAGAATGGGTCAGTTCAAATAGTTGGACCATTTGACCTGGAAACCGGACCCCTGACCGGTTCATTGTCCGATTCAGTTTTAAAAATCTTGATAGAAAATGTCCAGGACTACGTCTGAGCCTGGCCCAATTATTGGGCTTATTTTTTAGCCCGAGCCCAAGCGTGGCCTTAATATAATGCCCAAAACATGGTATATGTTACGTAATATCTCAGTTTTATCTTCTAATTATATATATATTATTTATAATATTATTGGACGGGAATTAGTTTGGGACCAGGGCTTATTTAAAAGGCTCAAGCCTGACCCAACAAAATCAGGCTTAATAGTTAATACGTACAACCCGAGACCAAACCTGCGGCCCTCAAAATATGCTGGAACCCAACCCCGAGGGCAAATCCATCGGGCTGGGCTACCCAGCCCATCAACAGGTCCAACTAAGACACCATGTCCAATATTCTCAGCTCATTGATATCTTTCCATTAGAAAATCTGACCAGAGTTTTGAAAGTTATCTAGTTTGTACTCCTTCCAAACTGAGCCTTTAAGGTACATTATACAAATGGATACAATTATAAGTATAAAATATGGACCGCACAAAGCTATATTCCTTTAAACTTTTTTTTTTATTCTTCATTTATGGCAAGCAAAACCAAAAATAAATAATGAACTATATCGTAAGTTTTAATTTATATGTTGTTATTTCATATCTTTTGAGCTTAATATGATGAAAAATTAAAAATAAAGGACAAGAAGAATATATAATAATACAGTTCAATGGAAACATATTTTATTTCATTTAGTGTTACTAATGAAAAGTTACGTGTACAAATAAAAATAAAAGGTAGAAAAATAAGAAAAACATTTAGATTAATTATGAAAGATATTTTTACTATATTTTTTAAATGGTTGGATTAGGTTTAAAGAATAAAATTTTTGAATAACTACTGTTTGACATAGCTGCGGCAATTGGGTGGGTTGTGTTGAGTTTGGTTTGGGTTGAGCTCAATCATTTCATTTAATCCGCCAAACCATTAATGACCCAGTCAAATAAAATTAAATAGGTTGGGTTCAACCCAAACCTACTTTAACCCAATTCAACCCATCCAAACCCATTAATTTTATATTTATGTACTTAAAACAAAAAACTCTCTTGATAAATAAGATGGTTATAGCTTGGTGGTGGTAGTAGTTGTTATTTACACAAGTGGTGAAGGTCTAAATCACATTACATGCATGTTATTTTTACACAAGCGACGAAGCCATTTGACTATGTTCGGGTTTCGTGTTTGACCAAACAACTTAGGTTTAAACCGGTCAAACCAACTTGAACTATCAAATTGGATTGTCTTCAAGCTAATCACATCAAGGGTGGTTTAATCATTTAGATTTGGATTAGTCTGGTTGGACCAAACCAAACCGGTTCAGTCAAGAGAAGTAGATCGAAATGGTCCGGTTTTAGGTCGGATTGTGTGGATACGGCCAGATGACCCAAACCGGATAAAGCAAGTGGGGACGAATTTTGGGTTGGTCTGGACCGGGTCTAGGTTCAGGTCGAACCATCCGAAAGGACCCATTTTAGATTCAGGTCAAACCAGACTGACCTGTCCTGGGTTGGGTCAGGTTTGAACTGGGATGACCGATCCAAACGAGCCGAAACGAGGTGATCGGGTATGTTCATATTTAAACCAAGTTGAGCTGGTCCAGACTCGAGTCAAGTTGATTTGGATTTATGTCGATTTGGGTGAAGTGTGTTGATTCGAGACAAAATTAATTTTAGTCAATAATTAAGAGAAAAGTAATGCATTAATTATAAAGTATTTCATTCAAATAAGAAAATTAAAAAATGGCTAAGGAATTAATACTTATATTTGTAGTAGTTAACCCAATGGCTATCCACAACCCAACCCAACCCAACTCATTTAAATTGACCCAATGGGTGATCAACCCGTTTCCAACTCGCCAAATAAATGGGCGGGTTGGCTGGGTTAGATTCTGGATGGGTTCAGCAGGTTGGGTGAAAATTTGCAACGTTTTTTAACCGCCGTTGACCCGGATGGTCAGACCATTCAGCCCGGGAACTGTCTAGGCAACCAGTTCCGTTTTACCCAAAACTCTGAATCAGGTTAAAAACCATTGAAAAAGTCAACAAACCATTGACCCAAGCAGTCGAACTGTCGACCCATTCAACAGTTTTTTACCGTTATTTATTTTTTTTTAATTTTGCTGTCATAACGAGCCATCCGTTTGAACCGGACAGTCAGACTATTGACCCAGAAATCGATGGCCAGAACGGTTCTATTTCTAGGTCGTTTTTTAAAACGTTGAAAATTTGCCATCCCTAATTTGACATATCTTATTTTATTTTGGTGTTACTAATAAAATGGCAGTGCACAAATGAAAATAAATGGCAAATTATTGATTCCCCAACTCACAAATTTGTCACTGATTGTAACAGTGATAGGTGGAGAATCTGATACAATACAAGAGGACGGGTATCTCTGTCATAGGTGGAAGTAAATAAAAAAACAGACAAAATTTTGTGAGGTAGAATAAACCATATTTCACAAAAATAAAGGGTAGAAAGATAAGAAAAACACTTAGATTATGAAAAGATTGTTTTTATGTATAAAAAAAAGAAAGAATTTTGCACTATACTTTTTTAAATGCTTGGATTAGATTTAAAGAATAAATTATTTGAATAGCTACCATTTGCAAATTTTGATATTAGGAAAAATTTATGATTATAGAAAGACATGGTATGTGAAAGGCTTTAACGAATCAAAACCTTATATGAATTTTGATGAAAACCTACCAAAGTGGTTACCACTTTTATGATGCCGGTTGATTAATTGTTAATGTTAGCGTATTCCATTAGTTTTAGTATTGTATCTATCTTTATCCCCTTAATTCTAGGAGATATAGTTCCACTCCAATTATTGTACATATTTTTTCTTTCCTTTTTGTATTCCAATTTAGGTTGCCGACCTGTTCTCTGGTTGTATCCTTAGCTTTATTATAAATAGGTTGTAACCTATTGAATTCACATCAAGAAATATTATTTTCCCACTTATCTTCTTTGCTCCTTTGTATCATGGTATCAGAGCTGTGATCCACGTCTCCTTGCTTCCTCTGTGCTTCTCATTTCTCTTCTACAAATTTTGATTTGGTCTGAGTTCGGTGGACCTTGATCGAGCTATGCTTATTTTGTCCAGTGATTCTTGATCTAGTCGTTCACCGACGTTTCTTGTTTCCTCTCTGCAAATCTTGATCAGGCTGCAATTCCTATCTCAACTGCGATCGATGCTTGCTCAACGGTTCTTGATCCCCCTGCTCTCACTCAAACGGTCTCCATCTTGCTAAAACCACTGTCTCTCTCTATCTTATTTTGGAACCGAATGTCCTTCTTGTGAAAATCGGCATTACGACACCATTGCTGCTAGAAGAGTTGTGGCTTTAGGCTTGGTTGAAGGTGGGTTTATTTGTCTGCAGAGGTTGAAAGTGGATTTATCTATTTGTGGCGTTTGGAAAGGCAAGAAAATTGTGATCCAGTTGTCTCTCTACTCAACGATTCCTGATCCAGTTGTCTTCATGCAATTCTTGACTCAATCGCGATCGTGGTTGAGCTATTTCTAGTTTTTTTTGCTCTGTTCTTCTGTCTCGATACCATTCTTACCGGCGAGCCCACTGTCACATCATCGCCAGTCCAGTCCATTGGCAGTCGTTCGACCCGGACAGTTCGTTCGAAAGCTGGGGCAGGCGAGGCGTTCTCAGGACTCTCCCGAGACTTAAGCTCAGCCGCATCCTTCCTTCTTTTGAACCGATGCCATGCTACTTGAATGAAGCATGCAGCCCATGTGCGCCATTGGTGTGAGCAGAACCGAAACTTGTGCCTAAGTTGCTTGCTATGAAACCCGTGTTTAAGGTCAGTATTGAGATTTTCCCGTGACTTGTGTTGCTCCAAAATTCTGTGTTTCTCCTCATGGATTCATATGAAACTGCTCAACATATTTATCATCCCATCACTGTTATCTTTGATGGCTCAAATTATGATTTATGGTCCCAAGAGATGTGCAGTTTTCTCAAGGGACGTCTTCTATGGCAATATGTGACTGGTGAGATTCCCAAACCCACTAAAATTGCTGATGAAACAGATGATAAATTTGCTGAACGAATAGAAAAATGGGACGGGAAAAATCATCAAATATTGACCTGGTTTCGCAATACTTGTATTGCAAGCATCAAGTTGGAATTTCGCAGATATGACTCTCCTAAAGAGGTATGGGATTTCTTCCAGGCTCGTTATTCTATTTCTAATGATGTGCATCAGTTTCAGCTCTATAGGCATCTTCACCGTATGAAGCAGCAACCTGAACAGACCATTCACAGTTATGTCTCTGAATTACAAGTTCTTTGGGACCAGTTGGCA